CCACACAGTGAGTTAAAGTATGAGATCGTTTTGGTAGCCTTTGGAAACTTTAATGTTATTCCACCACTGGTGAGGGAGGGCCTGGTTCCAGCATTTGTTGTGTTTTTCTTTTCTAATTTTAGAGACCATACTACCATTACCTCAAATAGGCACAGTAAATTAAGTATTGTAGGTAGAATCATGGTGCAACCAAATTTAGGTGGTAGCAAACAAGAATTAATATCTGAAAATGCATCAAGCAGAAAAAGCTAAATAAAATTGAGGGAGGAAGGTTTCTTCTTTATGCATTCCTAAGAGATTTTTGTTAGGTCTATATGCCTTCAAGATTTAGCAAATGCATCCTCAAGAAAGGAAGTATTTTGTCATAAATTTAATTCCATTCTTTCTGCACTTGGGCAAAATACTCAAATCAATCTACCTCTTAGTGGAGAAATTGAACAGCATTTATCTGTGCCTTGGGTTGTATGTATCTAATCCTGCCCCTTTTTTTAATTCTTTTTTTTTTTTTTGAGGAAAATCTGTAGTCCATAGACTATTGTTGCACAGTGCATCTGCAGGGTGTAATTTAACGTGCCCTTCTGTGAACTCTCATGCAGAAAATGTCAGTTACTTACATACCTGAACCATTACAAGACACTGCCCTAACAATTCCATCTTCAGAAAGGTTAGTGTGTGGGGTTTTTTGATAATGTGTGAATTATTGAGATAGCTTATTTGAAAGGTGGTGAAGAAGAGGTAAATCTTGTGCAGATGGAGAAATAAGATTTTTTTTTTTAAAACTGAGCTTTTTAGCAATTCAGAGTACTTTTTAAAGATGCTGTGTCACTGACATGAGATAACTGAACAGTATCTTATCTATTAAAAAAAATATATTCCTGATAGTAATAGGGACTTGTATTCTAACCCTGTTCAGTATAAACCAGTTATATAGTAACTAGAGTATTCTTTTTTAGTTCTGCACATTTTATTTAATGTTTGTCTTTTTTTTTCAATTACTAACAGTACTTTATATAAATCCAGTTTAATCAATGTAGAAATTAATTTTCTTTTAAAATTTTTCCTGCTCCCTGTTTCCCTCTACTTCTCCATAATGTTAGCAGCTTCTCCAAAGGCACCAACAAAGGAATTTACAGATTCTTCTTTTCACTGACCATGGATTATGCCATTTAACTTTGAAGTAAGTCAAACTAGCAGTGTCCATGTTCAGGAGGTTAGATTGCAAAAACACTTCAAATAAGATTATCACAGTGCTCTGCAATTGTTATTAATAACTTAAGATGTAAATTGTCACTGGATTCTAAACTACATATAACTGATATTTTTCTTCTATCTTTTTCTGTAAAAAATATATCTTTTTTTCCCATGCTACTTAGCACAAACCTGTAGTCTAGGGTTGTATTTATCTGTGCTGCAATTTCACTTGGATTTCACCTTGCATATTTCAGTTAGCACATACATTTTTGGTGCTGTGTTTTGTTTGAGATGAGATGGGAGGGCTGAGGAAGGGGATTTTTTCTCATCCAAGTTGAGGATTGCCATGCCGTACAGCTGTGAGACCTCTTTAATTAAGTCAGACTAAGCTAGATCAGATGGGCTGGTATCTGAGGGCACTGTGAAGACAGCTGAGCTGTTGGTGCTGTACTTTAATTAGAACTTTTAATATTTCATCCCTTACTACCCAAAGTGTGACCTGTCAAGCTGCTGAGATGCTGCCCTTTCTTGATAGAGGTGCCGCTCTGAGCCCAGGACTGGCACTGACTTATATCCAATTTGTATACAATCAGTTGGTGTTTTTGTTGTGTTTTCTTGTGCTTGTTGTCTGCAAGAGCTGGAAATCACAGATCTGTTAATGTTAAAGGATATTTGGACTTGTTAAATAGCTCATCAAATGCCAGTCCACATCCCCTGACCCTAATCTTTTACAAGTGGTTTGAGAGTGTCTAAAAGTTTTGCTCTCTCTAAGACTTCATTTATTAGTAAAGCTTTAGAAGCAAAAGAGGCAGCTGGATATCAGTCAGAGATCCAAATTAGGGTGTAGTTACAGAAGCTGGATTGACTTAATGTTTTTCCATGGCTGAACAGGGAATGTCCTCTTCCCTCCATCATGTTTCTCCTTTTCCCAGCTCGCTGTTCTTCCTTCCCTTGTTCCCAGAAGGTCCTCCAAAAGGTGGCAAGGTAGGGAGTACTGGGGTGGGAAAGGCAGACGGCAGTTTATGAGAATTCCCTGTACACTACCTGGTGTGTCTGGGACTCTTTGTGTCATCCTCTGCAGTTCCTTCTAGGGAGCGAGTAACACTAAAGAGTTAATTACCCCATGCAAAGACAGGTTGAAATTGAGAGAATATTTATCATACAACTAGTAGTTTTTCACATCTAGGATTTGCTATTAAGTATGTAAACAGCGTTCAACTCATATTTTGACAACTGGCTCCCCTCTTGGTGTTGATCAGAGCAGTGCATACCCTGCAGCTGGTGCACCGAACCGGAGCTACACTGCTGTTGTTTGATGCAGTTCCCAGGGGACATTAAACTATTTCATACACAAAGCTGCTTGATCTCTAGCTCTATATTCTTTGAAACTGTCTTACTCTAGCCCAATTTCTTGGCATTAACAAAACACGTTTCTATGTTAAAGACCACTTGCAGAAGTCAAAAGCCTTGCGTTGGTAGATCATAAGCCAAAGAAGCCAAAATGCCTTTTTTTTTTTTTTAATAAAGTTGCAGAAGCCATAAATCTACAAATCATGATATGGAATCACGGGATGAACCTCTTCAGTCATTTCTCAGGGGGAGGATAACCCTCTTGGAAAGCAAGGATTATATTATAAAATCAACGGACTGTTATCAGAAGAAATAAAACTGTTCAGATGGAAAGCAAAATTATTGTGCATAAATCATAGAATCATAGAATCATTAAGGTTGGAAAAGACCCTTAAGATCATCGAGTCCAACCGTTAACCTATCACTGCCAAGTCCACCACTAAACCATGTCCTCGAGCACCACGTCTACCCTTCCTTTAAATACCTCCAGGAAAGCACACATCCAATCTGTGCAGCAAGTCTCTACAGGCCTGGCAAAACAGGCCTCCATCTGTAGTGTCCATCTTTGCTGCCTTCATCTCTGGAGGAACAGAGAAGTGACAATAAACTGGTGCAAAGGAGAACCAAAGGGCATCTGAATATCACCCCTTCTAGCTACCACAAGGGCCAGGTCAGTAGCCAACATGTACGCCCTGAAGCACTGGATTCTGTGTTTCTTTAGGTCATTCAGGAAATTCCCTGAGGAAGCACATCCAAGTATCTACCAGAGAACTTGCTTTATGTGGGCAGGGACAGCCAAAATCAGGCACAGGACATGGAAAAATGCAATGTCACTATAGAGGCTGCTGGGCACACTGCTGGCTCATGTTCAGTCGGCTGTCAACCAACACCCCCAGGTCCTTTTCCAACAGGCAGCTCTCCAGCTGAACTAGATAAATAAAGAACTAGATAAAATCTAAAAATTTTTATTCATCTCTGGAATAGCTTATCAGCCTTACTTATTTTGCCTTTACAAAATCCATTAGGAAATATATAAATAATGATTTTTCTGGCTGAATTCTACTAATTGCTCTCCTCTGGGGTATATGATCTCTGCACTCTGGGTGTATTTTGCAGGTTTTTCTGTCCTAAATCATTCTGCTCTCAGTGCGCAGGGACAGTAGTGATCCACTGTAATTCATAGCAGTGAGAGCTGAAATAATCCCTGTCCTAAGTTTCCCAAATTGTAATGTAGTTTGTATGATAGTTTAACCAAGAAACCACATCTGAGAAGCAGAACCTATTCTTCAACATACATACAGCATGTGATGAAACTTCAGCAAAGTGTCCTGAAGGAATTATAAACAAAGAATCTAACTGGAATAATTCTGAATATAAGTAAACCTCTCAGCTGAAATTTTTATTTTGCAAATATATTTAGGGAGTGAATGAAAAGGCCTTTTTGAAATTATTTGGGAGGGTACAACTGGTTTGTTAAAAACAAAAAATCCTGTCTTCAGGTTGTGATCATAACAAAAAATATGTCTAGGATTAAATTATGGTAAATGTAATACTAATTAATGAGGTTTTCTTTAATGTCTTGGCTAGAGGTTTAAAGTACTTAAGGGGAATTTAGAATTTTTCCTCAAAACTAAATTTCATCATTAAAAAAAAAAGTCAATGAAAACAGATGTTATCTTGCAATGCTAGATTCCCAGCTGATGCATGCTTGAAAATCTGAAACTAAAAATAGGAAAACCTAGTGCTGGCCCAAATTTTCCACTTTTATTTTTCAACAGTTTTTTGGTGAAAACATTGTTTTTAGCATAAATTAAATATTTTATACATTCTTGTTTAATTTTCTGACTTGTCTTACTTAATCAAGGAATTCAAAACCAATTTATTGGCTGTTTGTGCATTTCTGTATACTGTCAAAGGACATTGATTAGAGATTTAATTTAGTGAAAAGAATCAAAGATTAATGAAAACTGATTTTTTAAATTAAAAAAAGGATTTTATATATACAAAAGAATGGTTTCATTTTCTCAGTGTTCTTTTAAAAAAGGCATTTTTGTTTTGACTTGCCAGCTTTTGGTAAGTAACCTGAAAAAAAAAAAAGTTATTCTTAGATGTCTAGTAAAAAACGGAGGGAAAATAGTTTTACTAAATTTTCTTTTTGCAACTGAGTACAAATGGTGCATACATAGTTAACATCAAGTTTGGATTTTATCATTCTCTCTCTAATCTCTTTCTTTTTAATAATCTAATAAACTGTGTCACAAAATTTGTACTAAAGTGATAGTGCCTCTTTAAAGCAAACCTGCCAGTTGGAAGTTTGCAGTCTACCTATGCATTGCAGGTTCTAGTTACTGTTTTCCTGATTGGTAAAACACTAAGGGTTATGCCTGCGATTCCTGTGTAACAAAAATTGCAAAGTAATAATGACCCAGTCCTTTTTTTCCACCTTCTACTCTCTCTAGAGCTACATCTATAACAATCCTACCAGGTACTACATGATGCAAAAACCCAAAGAAAGAGCACCTCCTTTGGCTCATGCATCAACATCCCATCAACAGCATGCTGAAAATCTCCGTGGGAGGACCTTCAGCCAGCCTGAGCCAGACAAGTTCTCACCAGAGTCAGAAATGGGGCTTGACCAAAATACCCTGATGGCTGCACTGCATACGTACATCACTCAGAACTTGTCAGCACAAAGCAATGATAAAACTTCTCACAGCAGGACTAAAGGCTCTCACATTTATGCTGATAGATTCTACTCTTCACAAGTCAGTCCTTTTGATGGAACTTTTGCCGAAGGAAAAGCAGAAGATTTGAAAATGAAGAAGCTGTTCCAGCCAAGACCTGTGTCTGGAGTGCTGGGGCCAACCCCTGAAATGCCGAATCATAAATCTGCTTCCCAGGGTGATCCAAAGGACCCTCTGAGTGTTGTGGATGGTAAAGTTGATATTTACTCATTTTAACTTGTCTGAAGTTTTCCTCATATTCACTGAGCATTTTTGAGAAAAAAGAAAAAAAAATTAGACATTCTGTTATATCTCATACTATTGACATATTTATATCTACCATAATACACACAGTAATAATGTTCACCATTCTAACTAC